TCAGTAATCCAGGTAAAAAATCAAAGGAAAAAAAATTGTATAGGTCCTCTGGACGGGTTCTTCTTTAATGAAACGTTTCGTCTCTCTTCCAAGAGACTTCTTCAGTCTGAGAGTTTCAGGCAAAATTCAGGCTTTTATGTCCTCCCTCCAGGTGACTGATACTCACATCACATGACCATCGTTCACAGGTGACTCCCACTCACATCACCTGGCTATGACTCACAGGTGACTGATACCCACATCACATGGCCATCGTTCACCCTAATGTGATGTGGGTATCAGTCACCTGTGAGTCATAGCCAGGTGATGTGAGTGGGAGTCACCTGTGAACGATGGTCATGTGATGTGAGTATCAGTCACCTGGAGGGAGGACATAAAAGCCTGAATTTTGCCTGAAACTCTCAGACTGAAGAAGTCTCTTGGAAGAGAGACGAAACGTTTCATTAAAGTGAGGACATTTTCTGGGTCCTCACTTTTTTTGCAGTTCTACTCAGTTTGTGCTCCACTGGTTAGGCTTGAATGAAGTTCTGGTTTGGGTTAGTTTTAGGGTCAGGGGTCAGGGGTCAGCTACAGAAATGACTCGTTTTGTGTGTGTGTGTGTGTGTGTGTGTGTGTGTGGACACAACCAGCAGGAAACAGTCCAGAGCCACAGAGGAAAATAAAGCTACACTGCCATCTTGTGGATAAAAACAAAATTACAAATTTCAATCTGTTCAACAGTTTATAATTAAAAAGTCTTAAATCATCTAAAATCAAAGGAAGTGGAGATTCATTTATAATCTAAACTTTATTTATAATCTAAACTTTATTTATAATCTAAAGAGATAAACTGATCTGCTACACTGGTTCTGCGGATCAGAACCCTGTTGACTCATAACTAGGGTTTCAGGTCCTGGTTCAGGTCTTTGCACAGGTTTTCCATCAGATTCTGTTTCTCAGATATACAACTGATTATTTTTATTATTATTATTTAGTATCTCAGACTGTGAAGGGCTCTCCTGATCCAGACCAGGATCCAGCAGAGTCTGGATCACTGGAAGGGAAAAGGACAGAATGGGACCAGGGCCCGTATTTATCAAACTTCTTAGATTTCCTCTTAAAAATTCTGCTAAGGGTGGACTTAAGTGTAAAAAAACTCTTAGTTAAAAGCAGCGATGTAACATTTGAAACGATGCCTCGGAGCCTGCGTCGAGCAAAAAGGGGCGTGCCAGATGAAGCCCTGGTTCGAGGTGTGTGTCATAACTGTAAAAATCACGTGACTGATGACGAACGAGGCCTTGGATTCAGTGGGCCACGTCATCGTGTCACTTTGAGAGCCACATAAAGGGTTCGAGCCTCGCGGCCCTTTGTGCGTTTGAGTTGGAGTTTGGTGTAGTGAGAGGTGTGCATTGGTTAGAGTTAGAGTTAGTGGTTAAAGTTCTGTTATAAAATATATTACATCAGCTATTATTTATTATTATTATTATCCTCATCATCACTATTATTAATTTATTATATTAGTAACATCTGAGTTAATACATCCAGTCAGAATGAAACTGTTAAACGTTTAAGATTGTGAGAAAGATCTTATTACCAACTGTATCCCTTATTCAGAATATAAAATAACAAATAAATGAATTAGCTCAGTCAAACATTTTGTTGCTGTGTGCTGAGCGTCTGTTATTCTGTTTACGTGTCCTATTCATTTACTGCAAGTCATAAAGTGGAACATAAATTGATTTTTCCACTACTTTATCTTTACAGCTTATAAAATGTAAATTAATTGTGTTTGGGATCAATAAAGTTGTATTTTGTAGTCCTATAAGAAGTTTTAATACACTGTTTTTGGTACCTGTTTTTCTCAAATTGTGTGTGTGTGTGTGTGTGTGTGTGTGTGTCTGCACACGTGTGTGTGTGTGTGTGTTTGAATAAATGATGGTGCTGTATTAATGTAAATCTGTTAAAATGTGCTTTATGAAACAAAGTCCACTTATTTGTAGTAGTTCAAAGGCTGGGGGACTGTTAAAAAGTTTCTTTTTTGAATAAAAATCAGTCATTTATATTTTATTTGTTCCATATGTTGCAGTTTCCTGTCTTTCAGTTCCATAAGCATTTATTTTAAGACCATTTATTTTTCATGTTCAACATCACATCACTCAAATATTAATATTTTCATGTAAAAACACTTTTATATTCAATGAGACGTGGCAAAAATATTTTATTTTATACACAGACATTCCAGGATTCTCTGACTCAGGATTAATTGAGTCTGTCATTTATCCTTCTGCACAGCAGGTGTCACTAGTGAGAGTGAAGGTAATGAACCTTAGAGCTGGAAATTAGTTCATGAAGCCTTGTTTATCCATCACTAGTTAAAATCTGAGAGTAAAAGTCACTTATCAAGTGTCAGTCTTACTTTAAGTGAAGTGTAGGAGTAATTCTTAAGTGTCAGTCTTACTTTAAGTGAAGTGTAGGAGTAAATCTTAARTGTCAGTCTTACTTTAAGTGAAGTGTAGGAGTAAATCTTAAGTGTCAGTCTTACTTTAAGTGAAGTGTAGGAGTAATTCTTGTCAGTCTCAGAGCTGATCTGTGACACCTGGCTGTGCCACAAAGCTGATCCTGGATGACGTCGTTAGAAAAACCCCCGACATGAACCAATCACTGCCTCAGATTTCATCTTCAAGAATATTGTTGGAGAAATGTCAAGATAAAACTGTGAAAATGTTAAGATAAGTTCACTTTCAACACTAATGTTGTCACCTTGTACTGATTGTCTGTAAATTACATCAAATGTCCTCATTTGCATCATGAAAACAGACAAAAATCTCACAATTTTTTTCACTGTATAGTGTGATTGTTAATATAATAAATGAAAAGTTCAATCCCACCATAATCTTTATTTCTTTGGGTGAGGGAGACCACATCGTCAAACACTGGTAGCTACCGGTCACTGCTAGGCCAAATTTCATTTACATAAAAGCAAATGTTTAAAGAAAGAAACTAATTTTATCTCCTTCATGATTGAGTTTAAACAATAATCTGTTCACTTCTCTACTAATCAGAAGGCAAAAAAATTACAATGTCTTGTTCAGTTTTTGGAATTCCTGAATTCCTGATTTAACTTTGTCGTGATTGGTTCATTTTTGTGGTGTAATCATTTTATTTAATGTTTATTTTATTATTATTATTGTTACATATATTTATACATTTTCCCCTCTTTTTCCATTTATAGTTCTTCCAGTCTTGTATAAGGTACCCGAAAGTGATACTTGAGTAAAAGTACAAGTATCTTTTCAAAAAATTACTTTAGTAAAAGTTGAAGTCTCCTCTAAGAATAGTACTTGAGTAAAAGTCTTAAAGTATCTGATTTATTTTATACTTGAGTATCAAAAGTAGATTTCTGACATAAAATGTACTTAAGTAATAAAAGTATTGAGTAAAAATGAACAGTTAGATTTTCCAAAATGTGTTTATTTGGAGGTGACCTCTTCAAAAAAA